GGCATTGGCGGCAGCCATTAAATATGCAGATGCGCAAACGTGCGCACACAGACACATCTTTTGCTGAGAAGCTGTATGCATGGCCAGGCTCGCTGTCACTGAGAAGCTGGCAGCTGACTCAAGTCCTCAGTAGCTGCCATCTCGGTCCTCTTTCAAAGCAGACGGAGAGAAACTGTCAAAGTCACTAGAAGCTAGGGCTTACTGTTTAGATCTTTGCGATTTGGGCACACCACAGGGCCCTTGCATAAAGCAACAGCGGAGCACAGTTGGATCTGAACCCTTAGAACCTGAAGCACTCAAATATGAAAGCCCGCAATCCTTTGAAGAGTTCAGCATTCGACACAGATCAGTCCTTCTGGAGTGCGGATGCCGGCGTGGGCACTGTTTCGTCCCTTCTACGCCTCACCCCTCCGTCTCAGAGCCAGATGAGATTTTTAAGGCCCAAGCGCTTAGGCATTACGGATTGAGGTTTAGGGCCGGTGAGGGGGTAAGGCCTGCGGATTTCGGGTGGGGGACACATGCTGATTATTACTTCTCAGGCCCTATATAACGGGTCGACTCCGCCGAGGACAACTACATACTATGCAGTGACATGTGCACTCCATGTTCATCTGCTGACGCTGTTGAGCCCGGCTAGTTAGCTACGGAACACGAACCGAAAAGAATAACCCCATTACGACACCTATCTGTACCTTCAACCTGAAATCATGAACTGCCTCACATTCTATTGTGAAGGGCGCCACCCTTGAGTTCAAGAGGGACCAGGTGGACTCTGTGAGGATTCCCTTTTGCGCGTCTTCGTATCGAGCTAAGGCTTCGAGCTCCCGGGTCTCGGAAGGCTCACATCATCGGCTTCTTCCGATTGAAGGCAGGCTCCTTGCAAGCGAGATGAGCTGCTCGTGTAGACGGTTCACACAGCGAGCAGAACTTGAAGATTGCAGTTTCGTGGCGGATGGTCTTCTCTGTCTCGTGAAACTGGCCCTCTTTTGGATCGCCGTGTGGGGGACACTCTGTGATGCCTCGCGACCTTCTTCGAGATGTTTACTGGGAATCCCCGGTCCTAACCTTCCTTCAGGACACCCTAAGCCCTGAACCCCACTCCCAAGCAGCTTAGAAACCTCCCGGACATAGCAGCAGCCTTGATGACACTGCAAGTTTTCTGAGAGTTGCGCTTTGAAGCCGTGCTTGAGGAAGCCATAGAGATCGCAGTAGTTAATGCGCACCTATGTCAGGACAAGGGAGCCGTTGCAACCCATTCCGAATCACGGGTTGTTCGCGACTGAGGATTGCGAGCCAGCGGAGGATGGCTTCACAAGAGCAGGAAACACAGGTGATATCACTGATATGGTCTCCACAGACATGGCACCTGAACTGGAACTTTGACTCAAGATCCCGACTATTTGAAACGTGCCCTAGGTGAAGGTCTTTCTGATTTGCCTGAACACATGTTGAATTGAGTCGTGTTCTATATTGGGAAACCGTATCAGCAGCGTCGGATGTATCCGAGCGCTTCGGCGGGTCCGCAAGGGAGCTCTTTTTTGCTCAAGAATCGGGGACAAAGACTCTTGAATGCAAGGGCCTATGGATAAGGCATCAACCCCTCATCTGAAGAAACTACCATGTTCTTAAACTGGCTGTCATCGACATCTGATTCACGGAACTCGACAACACTGTATCAAAGGCGAATCACGGCGAATCCACCTTACAGTGCGCGTTGCCAGATGGGAGTAGATAGCTGATGGCAGAATAGTTCGGCAAGCAGGGACTGTTGCTGTCAGGAAATTGAGCTACAGTGCGCCCTTCAACAGGAGAAAAGCCGGTAACTTCTAATTCGCCTCAAAACCACCACATTCCGTTCTCACCCCCGGAATCCACCAAAACAACCCCGACAGTACCCCAGTGCCTCAATGCATCCCTCAACCCTGAACCGCAGATTCACACAATGCTGGGAGGCTCCACAGAGTTGGCTAGCGAGCGAACTTTCCTCGGCACGCTTCGGGCAATAGGCTCTCCGATTCCAACCCTACGTGAATTTCAGGATTTAGGGTCTGCTTAGGGTTTCTAGGGGGTCTAATCTAAGGGCTCAATGTTGTACTGTCTGGGGCTCAGGGTTGAGCGCTTCGAAAAATGGTCTCGACCTTTCTAGAGAGGTGCACTGGAGCATCACAATATCTCTACCTCTGACGTGGGTTTTTGTTGACATGAGGGGTGAATCTTGATGCCATGTTCTCTGGATCCGCTCTCATGTAGTCGCTCGAGGGTAGCATGCATCACAACGCTCCTGCGGCAATAGCCTATTCCTCCATTGAAGTCTACTCAGATGAAAGGGGATGCGTTGAAATTGGTGTCGATACTTCTCTGCTCTCATGAACTTTATCATGGGGCCAGGTGACCGGCGAAACTTGAATCCGGAAACATGTGCTGTGAAGCTTGTGTGGCGGGAGTCCCTAGACGCTGAACCCTGACCCCCATAAGCCCTCAAGCACTAAGCCGACCGTAAACCCCAATTGAAACTTCTAGAACTCGCGGCGATCTCCCTGAGTTCGTCGCTTCTCGCAGAGCAGCACCTCAGAGTGGTGCTAGAGCTAGAGACTCGCAAAGTTAAGCGTCAGAATAGCAATAAAGACCGAAAGACTAAGAGCTCAAACCTTCAACCATTTTCAACCCTAAACCCTGCAGCAGCCCGAAACAGCTTGTAAGACCCTCGTGCCCTAAAGGCCATACAGCCTGTGCTCCGTCCGAGGATGCTGCTGCTTGCTCTTGAGCATCCAGCTCCTCGATGCCCTTGACCTGGTTCCAAGCTCAGTGCAGGCGCCTTCGGGTGAAGGGCGTAGGCTCAAGGTTTTGCTGTAGCGTTTAATTCAGGATTTAAGGTGCAGAGGTTGGCGGCAACTCATGTATTGCCGGCGTGTTATGCAGTCTTATCACGCTCCGCAGCCTTGCTGCAACGAACACTCCACAGCTTCCTTCGTGGCAATCATGTAGTTCCAACATAAGTCCGGCAGTCAAGATCTCATCCTGAACTACTTGGCACATTGATGCCCGAGGCACACTTGGCCCGGACTGATGCAACCATCACAAATAACACCTCCAAGCTTTCTCCGAGAAGGGAACGTGTGGGAAGCTCTGACAACAAGTTACTTGCAAGAATCAAGGTCCCCCAAACTCCTCTGTGACCGCCTATGAGTTCGCTGAAGCCTCTCAGTCGCAGCACCGCCACCTTCTCGTTCGGCTTTAGCTGTCGACGGAGCAGACCGTCAGCCTTCACAGCAGACTTCAGCGTGGCTTGTCTGGGGCATCGGCATGCTTGGTTAAAAAATCGGGAGCCTTTGGGCGACTTTACGCATCCCCAGGCCCCCAGGCCTGCTTGTCGGTGATGTGCGCCGCTAGCTCGTTCATGACCTGAAAGGACAATGTGTTCCCATTGCAAGAGTCTGTCCCCTATAGGCTCGCATTGCACGGGTTTTGTACTTGTACTTCTTGAAAACAGGCACTGCCAAGAACGGCAAGTAGCCCATGCCGAGGCAGACGGCGGTTTCAGTTTCGCTCCATGTGTACACAGTGACTGGTGGCTAGCACGAAGGTAGGGACTTTCCGGACGGAGCCCCTTAAACGCACAGTATGGTTGCCCTTTTGCAAGCATTCAGTTTAAGAAGAAGACCCCCAACTAAACCATTACACACGTTACTGTTGGGAATTTGTTTAAGGCACCCTCAAGAAACCCTGTAGAATGTATGTAAATCTACAAAGCCCTACAGCATCCTATAAAAAACCCTGAAGCAAAGCGGGCCTTCCGAAACTCTGACACCGGCCTTCGCAAACCCTATCAAAATGCTCGCCTCCCTTGGGCCGACACCGTCATGCTCGTCTTCGTCGCGAGCACACAAACACATTTCTGAGCGACGATCTCAAACCTGGGGCTTAGGGTTCACAGCGAAGGGGGCGTCCATGCAGTCAGGGTTCTGGGTTGAGTCTGAGAATTGTGGAGGTATAGGGCTTCAGGGTTCTGGGTCTCATCTTCGGTGACCGCTCGGTATGCCTTCATGCGAACTTACAGAGCTGCATCGTTAAACTGCCATGTGGCCTGGGCAGGCCGATTTGAAGGACAAAAAGGATGCCACACCTTTTGACCTACTAGAAACCAGTTGTTGTAGGGTCCTGAGATCAGCCTTTCGTCGCACAGCCTTTCTAGTGAACCTGCCACAAAGGCGGTCCTGGAGGCTAAGGTAGTTTGGTCTGCTGGCCTCACGAGATGGTTCTGCTTTCTACTTTTCTGTTCCTCATTTGGCGGGAGCGATAGATTGTTGACAGACATGGCTACATACAGGTGGCCACCTTCCAGAGATACCAGCAAAGAGCTATAGACCTTTCGAATGCAGGTTGTCCATGCCTCTTTCCCCAGTTTGAAAGCCTTTGGAACGCAAGTCCTGGACCCCAAATCCCAACATCTAAGACCCTTAGAAAGGCTCACACTGGAATGCAGGCCGGGTTTGACATTCTGAGTTCGTGAACGCATTCATGAACATCTCATCCTGCATGGGTTTGAAAATGCGACGGCTCTAGTGTCAGACGTCTGTTGCCGAGGCACTCCCGAAGCAATCGGAGCAGGCATTTCGCCACGACGGTCTGCACATCGCTGGGGTTTTCGGGCAGAGTGGGGGGCGGGGGGGCGGTCATGGAAGCTGCCACAGAGCCGACCAGTTTGGTAGGAGATGCTATTTGACAAAGATAAGGAATGACAGCAATGTAACATAGATGCCTGAGCAATTCTGCTGCTGTTTTGGGTGGGTTCTGCCTGCTCTTTGCTCAACCGAGATTAGGATGACTTCGGGATCGGTGCTCTGAGCTTGGCAGGTTAGAGCTTCGGACCCGGGGGGGGCCTAACCAAATTACCTCGAAAGGGAGAGCAGGGTTACCGTGAGCCCGCCCAAACCTCAAGAGACTTGCAAGAACGGACAGGTGCATCCTCCAGTGCCATCTGCGGATTCCTGATGTGGGTTTCTTGATTGGTCAACCCGAAGGACGATGAAACCAGGGGCCTGCACATTTCGAATGCTGCCCCGTATACAGTCCCTAAATGCTTCGCCGAGAGTGTTCTGATAATGCCATGACTTTCTACGATCTATCCGCTTCAAAATATTGCGGCCTCTTGCTGAGCTACAGATCGCGGCGCCTCGTCCGAGGATTCCAGGTCTCGGAGATCCGACAGCTTTATCTGAGCCACGCGCGGTCTGCTTCTTCTTTCTTTTTTTTTTGGGGGGGGGGGGNNAGCAGCAGACCACCACTTGGCGGTGCCCACAATGGCACGCCCGAGCCGGGGCGGCCGTTGCTTGTCAATAACAATGGTGAAATGAGTGCCCGGACCCATGTGGATGTGATCTAGCCATTTTTGGGACCCCGGCTTTCTTCTCTTCCGGCGGCGGCTCCTCGACACCATGGAAATGTCAGACACGTCGCACCAGCAAGGGGCTGGGTGCTGAACAGAGGCCTGAACAGCCCGAGACGGGTCATCCTCTTACAACTTGGCTCACCCTCAAAGCCCTNNAAACCCTAAAACCCCAAGCCGTAAACCCTTAAACCCCCAAGCAACCCTTAAAGCCTTCAACCCCAAACCCCTAAATCCTGAACTTTCAACCTTAGACAGGACCACCTCAATGTTCACACAGGCATCAGTCCTCGGCCTTCCGTTTCTTCGTCACCCGCTCCGGCACGATGACGAGGTTCTCCGGCTTGAACCTTGGCTGCGGGCTTCAGAAAAGTCCTGTATAAGGGCTTTTTTTGGTTCAGGGCTTGGGGTTTGAGGGTTTGTCTTGGAGTTTTGGAGAAGGTTTAAGCAAAGGATGAACTTCAGCCCGTACTTGCATGGCGGCTCGCAACTACTGGATGTTTCGGTCTCATAGCTGATACTTGCAACGATCGCACCCCCACTCTGGCACGGAGAGAGACAAGCGCAGCTCATCTTCTGCCGGTTGCTTGAACCGGCGGTACAGTAAGCCCTGAAAACTTAGGACCCCTGAGCCGTAAACCCTGAAGTGCGGCCAAACTCGTGGAGCTGCCATCCTGGAACGCACAAATCACTGAGATCCCAGCGATTTTCGTTCCTTAGGCTCCGTGTCCTTCATGTCCACTATCCATCGATCTCCATGCCTGGCCAGATATTCACGGCGTTGCTGTTCAGTCGACTGCGATGTCAGGAAGGTCCCGACACCGGCCCTCGACAGGATAAACGAGGCTGCTGACGACTCGGAATTGCAACAAGAAGCCGGCAAGACCAGCTAAGCACTTCGCCCTCTTTGCCGTTGAGCCTTGAACGGTGCCAAGGAAGGCTCTTGATGTTCCTTTGAATTGTCAGCATACTTATGTCAACATCAGGATTGCTACTGATTGGGCTCTACTTCTTCACAGCTGAGTGGGACCAGTGCTTGAAGCTCCACTCCCTACAGTATGTAGCTGAAACACCCTGCCATGTGACAAGTTGCCACAAAACTTCACCGCCCTGCTGGATTGGGATCAGCATGAAAGCTCATAGCAGGGATGAATATGCGGGCCCTGGCCAGTCCCTCGAAAGCCCCATCATGCTAGAAGCTGGAACACCTAGACAGTAGGGGTTCGGGGCTTGATATACTACATGAGAGAGAACCCTAAAGTTCAACGTAACAAATGTGGGCCCGAACCTTGAACCTCAAGACGATCCTCAACCCCGAGTTCTTCCGAAACCAATCATCCGAATTGAGAGTTTTCCTTCAACCCACCATCCTAACAACCATCCTAAACCCTGAATCAGCCCCAAACCCATGCCAAAACGCGCAGAAGCTTTTTTCTTGCCAAGCTGCTTGGAGCCCGCCTGGCTCGACAAGCCAACGACCTGGACCAAGAGACGGTCTGCGGCTTGAGGTCTAAAGCGCCGGCTTTGGCATTTGGGGCTTAGGGTTTGGGCTGGGTTCTAGGATTTAGACTTTTAGGGCTGGGGCTTCGGGAGCATAGCGTCGAGTTTCGACTTGCGCTTCAGGGTTCAGGGCTTCGTGGCAACTTGTGACTTCTCGTAAGCCGTGTCCAGCGTTGCTGCTCGATCTTGAAGTTTGCTACTGGTCTGAGGGTCTAGGGAGTACACTGGGCAAGCGAGTTTGCATCAAGCCCTGGAGCAGGGCTCAGCGTTTCTCGAGTCTCTACATACTCATCGGAGCCGCAGGTTTGGATTACACCTCTGGAAACAAAAGCCGGAAACCCATGTCTCTTCATTGTTCAGGCTCCCATTAACTAACTATTTAACTGTTTTATCTGCCCTGCGACGGGAACTCCCAGTCAGCGAATCGATGGTAGCCACCGCAACAGCACTGCAGCGAGCTGTTCAATCAAGCACAGCACATCAGGAACTACCTTGTATTGTTGACACGCCGAGGTATCGTTGTTACCAGACTTGCGACAGTCCTGAATTGGCTGGAGTAGCCTAAACTATCCGAGTCTTGCCAGCGAGTTTGTGAGTTTACTCCGAAGACCAGCGGATCGGCTCTCTGAAAATCAGTTTAGCACTTGGGTTCTGTTTATCTGAGTCCCTGGATCGCCGACAAACGGGATACCCACAAAAACCCAACAACTCAACACATCTCAAGATCTAGACACCCTAAACCAAACTCCAAAACCTGAGCCTACACGTCCTAGAAAATTAAACCTAAACCCCTACCAAGATGCGGCTCAGGAGCACAGACCAGAGACCCGGGCCTCACGGTATGCTTTGAGGGCAAGCTTTGTCTCTCAAAATTCTCATGTAGGCCTTGTCGGGTTGATAAGGCTGCTATAGGTGGTTACTGTCTGTTCTTCGATTCTAGTCTGTGGCTATGGCTTCCTCAGTCAAGCCAGAATTTACTTGTGTAGAATCCCTCGAAATTCTATACTGGGGTATAAACTGGGACTCTACCTAAAGCGGGTTCTCGCGGGTAGAGCTCACAGTTGTATTCCTCCCCAATACAGAAACCTGAGAAGGGTTTCAAAGACTTCAAAGCGACGAATAAATACGCTTTCTGTGATCGAAACCTGACCCTAAATCCTACATCCTGTAAACCCTTAGCGCCATCAACCTTGAACTCTAAACGACCCAGGCTCCCCCACAGCAGCTCTGCTGCCCTCAAGTTCGTGGGCTTCAGGGAGAGCTGATTGCCCGAGCCTGGCTTTTAGGGTTTAGGGTTTAGGGTTTAGGGTTTAGGGTTCGGGCATCCCGACGCTTCACCACGGTTCTAGAAGGTTCTACAGGGTCTTTGGGTTTAAGGGACACGTATAACGCGCATACATCTGCGTCCGCGGAGGCATGTGGGAATGCTGGAGAAAAAAGGCATGTCACGTCGCATGTCCTTCATCCATCCGGTTGAATGTACTACCTGTACACCAAGAGTGTAATATACTCTCGTTAATCAAGTGCGAAACCCCGAACTCTAAAACTCTCAACCCGAAAGGCCCTAAAACCCAAAACCCCTGAGACCCCAGAACGCAACTGGATGTGAATCCAGAAAAGTCAGATTTGGAGGATATGCATCGAGCGAAGATGAGGCTTCAGGTGGGGTTGCAGCATCTTACCTGAAGCCTTGATAAACACGCCTACATGCTTCCTCCCTCCGCAGATTCGCTCGGCTCAGCCCCGCACGGAGAGTGACCAAGAGCCGTTCGGAGTTGTCCGGATTCACGCCCTTCGAGACGCAATACCTGGCTCCAAAGCCGTATTAGTACAACCCTTAAAAGGCTTCGCAGAGGCTTTTACAGGATGGTAACATACCTCGCTCCAGAAGTGTCACATCAGATTTATCTATGCCATGTCTGTGTCACCGCATGCGGATGTTGTCCCAGGTCTGGATGTCCGGGCCCACAGACCCTGAAACGCTGGCCCTAAAATCCCGAAGCCCCAAACCTTTACCAGGACAGACGTTTGGGGTTGTGTCGGGCTTACGTAGGGTCAGGGCCGCTAGGGCTGTAGGCTTTAGGGTGTCTGTCAAAGCCTCGATTTTTCAGAGGCGTCGAAGCATTCCAGACCGAGTAGCTGAGAGAAGGCACATGCATGCTTAACTTGAGCTACGACAATGCAGCTGTATACATGTGTATGTATATGTATGTATATATATATATATATATATGTCTGTTGTTAATTACACTAAATGTGTAGATGAGATGCGTTTCTCGCTCTATGGATGTGGGATGAAGCTGCCGGGCCACTCGTCGTTCAGCTCTGGCTTGGCAGAAAGCCCGCAGACCCTGATTGGAAGCCCAATCAGGCTTCTGAGTTGGGATTACCTAAACAAGCCCCTACTGGATCCCCCTTGCAGAATACCTGATCCCTACGAAAGCCCCATTTCCTATTTTCCGCAGGGAAAACCAGATTCACCCTCAGCTTCATATCTATACATCGAGTATGGAGTCTTCCCATGTGGCTGCAGGTTGAGGCAAGATCTCTCGTTCAAGGCTTATCTTTCGGCTTTCAGTCTTATTGGGCTCCTAATTGTTTCTCTGATTCGGGGACCTTGCCCTTAAATTGAAGATAGGGGCGGGAAGAATGAAGCCGGCTTCTGTGACACGGGACCTGTCCTCCTACCTGGCGGGTGAGCCCTGAGCCCAAGGATGCCCATGCAGCTGTAGCCTAGAAAGCTTTCAGCCGGGCTCTGAAGAGTCAACTTGTAAAGCCGCTGGAAGACCGAGCCAAATGTCCCATCACGCTCATATTGCTCCCTGATGAGGCCCAGGCTGCGCGTGCTGCCCTAAAGGGAATTCCTCCACGGATTGCCCCTCTGCCATGGCAATGCCAAGGGAACCCTTGAGACCCTTATCTGGGCTCTGTAGTGATGTGGATATGAAGAGGCTTGCAATTTTCACTGAGTCACGGAAGCATACTTTCGGAGCTGCAACGGGGGGCTGAACAGGGGGTTGAAATTATGCTCCAGCTTGACTGTAGGCCTCAGGGCCTGCAACCCGTTCGAAGTCGCTGGATATGTGCACGAGATAGAGGCTAGGTGGGTAGTGC